GATTTTTTTTTTATTATTTTTATTTGTGTCCATAAATTGTGCCCACAGCAATGCAAAGAAGTGTATTTTATTACTCTGAATTTGCTAAGGGTTTCAAAAGACAGGTTACAAATTAAAGCTAGCAAACAAAATACGATTCCCATGATGTCAGAACCCTAGCCTTTTCCTTCTGGAGATTTATTCTCATATGGTATAGCAAATTATCTCACCTCCTCCCAGGTGCTAGCAAACACCTGGTTGCCTGCAGAAAGCCTTGCCAGACCAGCAGTCTGATTTTGAAGACATCTACAGCTAGGAACAAGAAGGCAGTCTGTGCCCACAGCCGAAAAGCAACAGAAGCCAGGGCAGTGGCAGCACCGGGCCAGCGCTGCCATCACTCTTAGCAAATACAGAAGTACTTTCACTCCCAAAGCAGGGAGCTTTCACGCACAGACAACAGGGGTCCTCAAAAGACATCGGAGGGATGTACTGCTGGGAACAGATCTAAGTTTACTTTTAAAGAGTCAGAATCCCAACTTAAACAATCGGGGCACAAACAGATCGCCATGACCAGTATCAGCCAACCCGGACACCAGCTTAACTTGCCGTGGGGCCAACAAAACAAGCTACATCAGTGGGTCTTCCCGAGAAGGGCAGGTCAGCAGAGGCTTGGTGAGCTGACACAGCTCCTTACCTGTGTCACCGCTGCTGGCTGGCGGAAGATCATCAAAAAGTAAAGAACCTCCTTTTCCTGGAGCACAAGAAAAAGGCAAGAAGAACTAAATACCTTTGTTCCTTTCAGGGAATAATGCTCTGTGTACACCCCTCCTGAGGCGCAGAAATTATAAAATGCCAGTTTACCAAAGCGAGCCAAATTTCCACTTCTGTTACTGGACGGTGGGGGCAAACTCAGGCCTTACATTTCTTTCAGGGAATATTTATATGGAACATATGTGGAACATCTATAACATTCTGGTTACCAAAAAAAACCACAAGAAGAGGAAAGCAACTGCTCTGCACACAGATGCTGACAACTCGACTGTCTTTATCCTGTCTAACAAAAAGGGTTTACACGAGTTTCACCCCAAGAGATGCTGATGCACAAAACACAGGAAGCCAAACTAACGGCAGGAAGGGAGCACTCATACCTGAGTCAGCACTGCTGGCTGGTGGGAGATCGTCAAAGAGCAGAGGCCCTTTCTGGGCTTCCTTCCCTGTAAGACACCAGGGCAGAGTCAGGACCCGCTGCAGGCATTCAGGGGTTGGTTTCTGGAGGGACTGCCCCCCACGTGAGCACAGGTAGGGTAACCGAGGAGAGCCTTGGCTATCTTTCTTCCATCTCTACTTTAGGCAGCTCCTACACGAGCAAAACAACCACCTGCCTGGGGATGACATGAACTTCTCTCTTGAAAACAGATATTATTTTTTTTTGCTAGCAATTCACTCAACTTGTGTTAACATCCCTCAGCAGCCCGATCAAGATGTTACAGGATGGGAGGGGCCCAGAAAGCACCAAATTATTTCAAGTAACACCATTACAGCTCTCCACGGACCCACGACCCACAGCAGCACAGAGGGGAAAGCCTCCAGCACGACCTAAACCTCACGGCTAACGCTTTGCATCTGAACGAGTCGCAGGCAAAAAAAACCCAAAAAAACCCCAAACCCTGTAATTTCTCCAAGGGTTTTTGAGCCACCCCCTCCCGCAGCCGCCCCC